CATGCCTCTGATAAGCAAGTGACACGTCCTGTTTTTCTTTAGCATACATCACCATAAAAGTATTCATTAGATATGTATCCGTTTTAAGAGTTGATTCATCAGTTGATGATCTCCTTGCGTAGTCGGTATCAAATATGTTAATATGTTGTTTGTGAAGGATGTACCACTGACTCTTGACCTGACTGACGGTGAGCAGCTATTATAGACGGGACACCAGTTTGAAGACACAAATTGTACTAATTATACATATTAAACGTTTAAGTGTGATAATACTGTGGTCTTGATTGTGAGTTGACATACGATCTCAGAATTGAATAACTTGATAGGTAATCTTCAAATGGAATTTCTCTTGTTATGTAATAGCATGTACCACCAGTTAATTGAGTGTTGTAGGAAGTTATATTTTTTATGTAACGTTATGATCTATTTCCAATGAATGTTATTAACTTACTTATTCAAGCCAGTCAACTTAAGGTAGTAAATTTACTGGTCCAGTATATTTACTACTATAGTTATAATGATTTAGAATACTTATAACGTGATATATAATATAATCTAAATTTATTTAAAACTTTAGAATTAATTAGGACAAGAAAATTAAATGACTTTTTTCGGTGTCAGTACTATAAATAAATATACACATTTTTGCAATTATCTATACTAACATTATAAAGCTGAAGAATTTGTTTGTTTGTTTGTTTGAACGCGCTAATCTCAGGAACAACTGGTTTGAATTGAAAAATTCTTTTTGTGTTGAATAGACCATTTATCGAGGAAGGCTTTAGGCTATATAACATCACGCTGCAACTATTAGAAGCAAAGAAATAATAGAAAACGCGGACGAATTCGCTGGCGGCAACTAGTTTTGAATAACATTCATTCGGTATCTATACTAATATTATAGGAAAACTTTGTTTGTTTGTTTAATTGTTATGAATATGTAGGCCAAGAACTACTGGACCGATTCTAAAAATTCTTTCACCATTCGAAAGCGAGTAAAATAGGCTATATTTTATTTTGGAAAAGAGAAAAGTTATTTATTTTGCGCAGGTACGCTGCCTAAACTATAATAGATAGAACCATAAAATGTTCCAATTAATTGTAGATCTTACAAATATCTACAAAAAAATCCGTGACACACTATACCTATCTATGTCGAGTGAGGCATAACAACCGTTTTTTTATTTAAAAATCTTGATTTTTCTTCGAACTTCATTCAAACGCGTTTATTTTACTCATGCTATTAATCCTTATCAAAATAAATTATTTCATCACTAAGTACAGTTTATGTAGAATTTGGTCTTTGAATGATTAAAATTGGACGTTTGGTTTTGAAGTTATGGCGAAATTAAAATATTACGATTTCTGCTGCACGGGCCGTTGTGAAGTAGATGTCACTATGGCGGGGCCGGGGGTGCGTTTGCGGTAGGGGAGTTTAGATCTATGAGTACCAGGTACCAGCGGACCACGTGGGCAAAGCCGTTGGCGGAAAGCTAGTAGATTATAATTTTCAATGTAAGATATTTCGAGAACTTTAATATCTTGTATTGCAATATCTAACAAAATTCAAATATCGAATGAAATTATATCGTCTCAAATTTTGATTAGACAAAGATAGATTGTAAATTGTAACATCTATATTAAATACACAAGGGTAAGGTAAAAAGGAGATAGAAAAATACATGAAAAATATGATAATCAACCGATAGCAAGCTAACGAGTAAGGACGACATGTATAAACTCAACAAAAACTTTATACTTTCGTGGTTTATTAATTTCTAGTGTGTAACCAATTTCTTCTAGCTATTGCTGAGAAAATGACTTTATTTTACTCAACAACGTAAGCTTCAGAGAGACTGAGCATTTGACCTTTAAAGGGCAAGCGGCAATCGGCAATGTTAATAACGTTATATTACTTCTATTTAAATTGAACGCTATGTAGCTTATTTTAAAGAGAACTATAATGTAGCTTATTTTAAAGAGAACTATATGTGAATTAGGAATTTATACGGCGGCGGGCGTATAGGCTACTAAGCTTAACTTACCTAATCCCTCCTCATTTTGGGTAAAAGCTAAAATCTGTTTGAAAATATCTATGGGGTAGTGTCGCACTCCTATATAAGAAAAGCTCCCCTGGTTTTAAAAGCTCAAGGGAACTAAATATTTCATTAAAAAATATTTTTTAAGTAATTTTCATAGTTTTATTTGCAGATTAGATGCAGTGTTAATTGTTACAGATTGACAAGTATATACCCGATAACGTAGTCGTTCCAAAAGAACCGTATTGCTAACTTTTGCATTGATCGAATGATCAATTATATGATGATCAAAGATTACTATGTCGAGCTCTTCCATGCGTCAAAAGGCATGTTAACCTATTGGTCCCGGTATCTGCAGACGTCAATAGCAACCAATCCGCACTGGGAACGCGTAGTGGGTCAGCGTCCATTCTACGGTTCCATCCATAGGGAACATCTGAGCGCCAGCAATGGTAACATTAATAGGCTGCTGAATTTTTTTTTTATAAAATGAGACACATTCTCTTAACAGGACAATCAGTGGACTGACGGCCATATTTCATAGTGAAACTTGTTTTTAGAAGGAATAGGTACATTTCATTGGACAGTCTTCGGGGTTTCATAAAGAAATAGCCTTCTTAGGCATCATTTAATTAGTCTTGTAAGTTGCTAGGCTAGAATCTGGCTTGAGAGCTAAATAACAGTTTTGCCCATATTCTATAGTCTAATATAAAGGGTTAATCGTTGTTTTTTTTTTACATTGAATAGTTTCCTAGTCTCCGAAACTATTAGATTGATATTAAAATTCTTTCACTTACGGCAAACTGGATCATATGCTATAATTTACGCGGGTGAAGTCACGGGAAACCAGATAGTATTTTTATATAGGGTCAAGATAAAAACATAGAAAATGAAGTCACAAGTACCGTAATTGATGATAGTACCATCATATAAGAAAAGAATATGTAAGTATTAAAAAATCTGCGAAATAAATATATTAACCGCACAACATTTTCTCTAAATAATAAACGGTACTTTATTCTTACTGTTTAAGTTAACAAGAAATTTCCGAATAAAATTGGGAATGTTTTCTCCATAATTTCCGGCCGCGTGGGTGTTCTAATGCGACATCCAGACTCTGAGACGGTTAATTAGATTTTGCTCAAGAGAAAGAAGGACCAATGTTTTTATTCAATATGGAATAATTTGTATAACTGCGTAATTGAGAAATAGAGTCGTAGGTATTATTAGAATAAATAAAGGGACGAAGATGTGCGTATAAACAGTAGGTATCTACCTACCATTTATATTTGAAAACATAACCAAGGAGGGTAAAAGACATTTAAAAATATCAATCAATTCTAGTAATTACTTGTAGCTCACTTTTTCTTTTTTAATTAAGACAAAATATAGTATGTGCATCTGTGGTCAAACTTAATTTAATTTTGAAAACTATAACATACCAAAATCATGGAATAAATAATAAAAAAAGCATTATAAAAGGATACAAATACGAGTATTAACTAATAACTTCAATATTAAATGTTTTTATAGCTATGCAATGAAGTTATAATGAGCGATCGCTATCATGGTTATAAAACAGTTTCAATTCTTTCGTATAATTCATATCACTATTAAAATAAACACAATTTATCAGTCAGATGATGGATGACGTAAAGTATACTTCAGGAAATTCCATTTTGAACTCATGTACCTATATCGGCGGAATATTATTAGCGACCGGTAGGATTCCATAGAAATGCTGTCTAATTCTTCTAAAAATCTGCTGAAATCAAAATTTATAAGCTTATTTTGTGGATAATATTACTATGATATTAGGTGCCGGACATTATTAAATTAATTAGAACATTGTGTTCGCTTCTAAAACATGAAGTTGTAATTACCAATTATCACAGTAAGATCTGACTTTAACTAACGGAAGTGGCAGCGGATGCAACAATTGGTTATGTTGAAAATAAAGATATTATAAAGAGCGGGCGGAGGCTTTCTGTAGGTTACTAATTAAATAATAAGCGTTCAACTTCAATAGCATTGTCTTGGATAAGTCGTTTTTGAGATAAGTATTATTTATCACTTTTTTAGAGATCGAAGTCGGCACTACTTTTAAAAAAGATTCGATTTCACGCTTTTTAATGATATTGATATATTATATATAATAGGTAACACTAAAACTATATAAATAATAATATTTAAGATAGTGAAAGTCTAAGAATAGGAGATTTTGTTTATTCGACGCATTTTTTCAAATAATCTGTATTCATATTTTAAAGAGGAACGATTTGATTGCGAGTTTGTTTGCATTGGATTTTCATAAAAAAATATACATTAAAGAGTAAAGTATACATACTCGTTGAACATAGAAAATCTTCCTTTCAGATTTTGAATGAATTCTAAATACGCAATCTTCTGTTTTTTTAGATGACATGCGCCTCGTCATAACATATCATCTTAATATTTAGGTGATATCTGTTGGAAACCGTATTTTGTTTTGTTATAAAAAGAAAACTGTTTATTCGATTTCGATAAAATTTAAATGGGATTACCTCAATCCATCAAGATGTCGAATAGAATTTTGAAAATCGATCAACAATTGACGAAAATATCATGCACATAAGGTAAATCGCCGTCGAACATACAACCTACTCCTTTTCGATTTTAAAGTCAGTTAAAAAGAGAATTTAGACAGGTTATTTAGATATTTAGACAGATAAATTTCTATTTATCCAGCATAATGTTATGTATAGAGATATCCATACTTTTTTTCCGTGATTTTTCACTCAAACCACATTCTATTTTAGATTTTATCAGTGCTGCAAACTTTGACACACCTTATAATAATACATTATTTTTTCTTGCATTTTTTGACAATATGAAGTAGGTTTTCCAGAAAAATATAATTCATCAGTTACTCTTGTCTTGCTTCCTACTCCGTATTAAAATTGAGCTTCATTAGTTTACATCCCAGTCTCATAGCGATCTCGTGGCGGTCACACCACAGTTGCAACGAATACGCTACGCAACGAAAACAAAGATACAACGAAAAATGTATAGAATCACTCTCGTTTTCGGGTTGATTATTTACGTGGAGTGTGCGAACTATCAACGTTACGGCGAGCCGGGTGGTACACTACCTCAGTATTCGACTATATCTAATCTATATAATCAGTACCCCTATAAGAATAGTTACGGTAATGACTTAGCTAATTTCCCTGAAGCGACTCGATATCCGAATTTCAGCCCTGGACAGGTGACGCCAAGGTACAATACGTATGACAATCAGAAGTCAAATGTCAACAATCAACCGGGGTACTTCATGGGCACGGGGTACACCACACCGAGGTACGGGCAAGAATATGGAGGGTACAGTTCGTATGAGATGCCGTTTATGAAGGACATTAGAGATTACTGCGTGAATCGTTCACCGCAAATGGGGATATGGGTGGAGAGTTTGATGGGGATTTGGTATGGAGTGGAGTTCGTACAACATCTCGCTGGCGATTCCAGGGTGGACTACACGAAAACGTGCATAGTTATACACATTTCGGAGCCAATGGACCGAGTGAGTATATTTATTACCAATGTATTTTTTTTTAATAATCTACATCTACCCAGCTTAAAAAATAGACATTCTTCAAACAATCAGCGTAAAACTGAACGTCGAGCACAGCTTTGACACCGAATAGTGATACAATCAAATAATAGTTATTTAAGATACGAGTGCGGAAAGTAAGGTTTTACGAATAGGGGCCAAATTGAAAACACGAGCGTAGCGGTTTTCATGGACACGAATTCGAAAAACCTTTTACGCTCAAGTTTCTTACAACATTTTTCAATGCTTTTTGCGAGGAAATAAAACAAATATATAGGTTAATAAAACTAAGTATGTATTAAAGGTAAAAATAATTTGTTAAAATAAAACGCGATATTTGAACATGTTTTCGTGTCATACTCGAAAAATCTTTTACGTTCAAGTTTCTTACAACATTTTTCAATGCTTTTTGCGAGGAAATAAAACAAATATATAGGTTAATAAAACCAAGTATGTATTAAAGGTAAAAATTATTTGTTAAAATAAAACGCGATATTTGAACATGTTTTCGTGTCATACAGTTTTATTTGAAAATATTCGTTCTATCCTCTAAAGTTTGACATATTTTCATCAATTTTTTTTAAATTTCTTTGGTGCTTGGCCAAAAAAAAAATACTTTTAAGCACGTGTGCAGTAAAGGATTTCAGTACATTTTTATTTAACACGTGTTTAAAGACTCATTTTCAGTGTTTACAATGGATTAAAAAAATAGCGCTTTATGAGCAACTGCATTGAAAAATCTATTTCATGACAGTGCTATAATGCGTCGAGATCGACATTCGAAAATTTTACAGCCAACAGCACAACTCATAATATACAAATGAGTTTTTTTCAAACCGATTTTATCGTTAGCGCGTATCAGCAGAATTTAGAATCGATTGCGGTTGATATTTTGGCATAACCTGACATGTATATACAAGGACAGTATAAAAACAACTATTTTCTTCCACGAATAGTTTGAATTCGTATACAAGATAGAAAGAAAACATTTTTTTATTACCCTAATAAATTTATTAGGTAGAATTATCACATTGGAAATAATTTGAAATTATTGTTTTCGGGACACGTGTAAGCAGTTTCCGTCTTTACTTGAAATACAAAACAATATTCTATTAATATATTCTATTCAAATTGAAATAGGGCTCACCTTGAGTTTCGCTTAAATATTGTTTATAAATAGCTGGCTTTTCGCTACGGGCTTCGACCGCGTGGTCCATATTAACGTCTTTCCTTAGGTTAGGGGTTAAATTTTTAAAGATTCCTTTTTTAGCGCTCACTCACATCATAAATTAATCCTTTACCAAATTTCAAGTTAGTAGTTTACTAGGTATAGTAGTTTCTACAGTGCGTTGATATTTAAGTCAGTCAGGTTTGCCTTTTATATATAGAGATTTGTACTTAATTAACCAACTAGTTACTTTAAACAATAAAACAAAGTACACATATTGTGGAATTTTTATCAGTGTTTTAAGCGACGTAGCACTTATTCTTACGTGATTTGAAATTAAGATAGAGTAATTGAAATTATACGTCACAATTTTTTTTGGGAATTAGGTATACTCGTAGGTATATTAATCATTCTTTAAAAAACACTGAAACTAACTTACATTACTTAGACGACATAGTCATTTTGATTAAACCTACACATTTACTTAGTTGATTTTACTCTTTATGTTTTGATATAAAACAATATAAAATATAAAACTATTGAACCGGTTTTGATAAAATTGATGTGCCATTTAGGAAATATACTCTATTAAATAAAAAAGTACCTACGTTATAATCGATTCATAATCCGCAAACTTACGGTCTTCATAAAAAAAAATAAACATTTATAGTCTATACTATTAGTATAAAGAGGAAAAATTTGATTATTACTTTATTAGTATCGAAAAGGCTACATTATATGCGGTGGATATAGGCTATATAAAGTAGCTCGGTGGGGTAGAGGATAAGCGCCGCGGCCCGCGATCGTTGTTGTTAAGCAACTTTCGCAAGGGTCGGTCACGGGATGGGTGACCAAAAAAAAAAAATTATCTCGAGCTACTTCGTGCTTCGGAAGGTACGTTAAGTTGTTGGTTACGGCTGCATTTGCAGTCGTTAACACCCTCCAATCCGCATTGGGCCAGCGTGGAGGTTCAAGGCTCATCCTCCTTAACCATCCATAAGGAAGGCCTGAGCCGCTGCAGTGGGGACGTAAAAAGGGCTGATGATGATGATGGTGGTGATGATGATGATGATGATTATGATAGATATCTATATTGTATCTTGAAAGCAGCAAACAAAGGGATTAAATTGGAGTGAAAATTTTTATAGGGAATTAAAACTTCGTCATAGTAATCATTGTTCAGTATTCAATTTGATTATATCCATTATAGATGACATATGGTTGCATAAAACCTTCTCCAAATGAATAATTAAATTAAATTATGATAAAGAGAGTAGATTTGATTGTTTGTTTCCATTGTATGGGCTCCAAATTTTTTTCTTTTTCGCTACTACAGAGCGTATTTCATCAATGTTCAGGTAATTAGCGAAAAAAATATTTTTAATAATATTTAAACTTTCGATAAAGATGAAAATTCGCTCTGTGGTAACGAAAAACAAGTGTTTGAAAAATTCGTCAGGTATAGGCAATAAATATGTAGGTGATTTGACATGAGGAATTTATTAAAAAAGGTACGTAAGGAAATAATATACGAAAAAAACATATTATATTTAGGCATTTATTTTATTTCAATCGGTTTATAAAGTCAGAGCTACATATAAATGCAAAAAAATAGCTAAACTTATTACAATTACATGGGTTGGGAATTATAAATAAAAGTATTTGACTATTGTAAGTTCTTTTATAAAGATTTTGTATCTGGTTTGGTATTCGCGTTTCTCAACCTTTTTCGATCCACTGACCCCTCGATCAATTGCCCACCACTTGATCCCGATACTAAATAGAAATATTTCTAGGTATATTATTTACATTCACACACAAATATAAAACAATAACAAAACAAATACAACATAAAATCACCATCTGCTCATTATATCTCACTCAGCTAATGTCATTACTATATAGAACTTTATTCATCACAGTAACGACGTTGGTATTCTGACCTATGGTGTGACGTTGTCAAGTGTGTTGTGCCTATCTTTATTAAAAGATTAAATAATGTTATGTTAATATACGTAAAAAAAAAAATCAAACACCGGTACCACTATAAAATATAAACAGTTTACTAGTTGTTTTCCAAAGAAAAGCAAGTAAATGAAAATAAATACTTTTTTTCTGGTAGTATTTGATATACTATTACAGATAATCACACTACCATGTTTATTTTATTTATAATATAATTTAAATTAATAATGTACTTAAAACACTTATTTTATACTCATTGTCACTTGACTGCGAATAGCGCGTGAAGTCACAGTCCTCTTTGTAGTACATACTGTAATCTTTTTCCGGATTAAAAAAAACTTTCATTGTTATTTTAGGTATCATATCATATGGTATAATACATTTTGTTATAATTTAATTTTTAGGAACTACCAATTTTCGTAACAGCTTTTCCAATTACATTAAAATGGTATTTTCAAAAAGCTCATTTAATTAGCTTAAAAATTGTACTCCTGTACCGTAATGGTTAACTTTTTTGAAAAACACCCAAGTACGAGCCTTTTCATAGCATTTGTTTATTGTTATCAAACAGCTCATAAATGAGACTGTGGACTGTATACATAGGCTCGCGGACCCCTATGGGTGCCTTTATACCAGGTTGAGAAACTAAACCGGGGCTTACCAACTGCAAGGGACGTCTGTCCAGTGCAGTCTTCCTACCCTGTAAAACCATCCGTACCTCGTATCTCGTGTAGTCCGATAACCGGCAAGGAAACCCCGGCAAAGGTTGAGAAACACGGCTTTAAAGCATTCTGTTCCATATTCTGAAAGTGTCTGGCGAATGGTTATTTAAACGATCGCAATTAGTTAGTTCATTCATATCTTGATCAATGAGATCGCGCTGAGGACCATTGACGCATACCACAGACTTACATATTTTGTAAGAAGACTAGAGTTTAAATAAGGTTACATTTATTGTTTTTTTAATCTACAATATTTTCTTCAATTTATATATAAACTCTGCACTGCATTAACAAAATGATAGGGTTGGCAAACAATCTCAAAATCGACGTCGAGCTCAGGGCCATCACGACATAGAGTTTTAACGAAATAAAACCTTTTTTAGTAAGAAATGCTTAAACATCCACTAAACCTACCTAGGTTACCTACCCGAGATAGGACTCGACTCCACAACCTTTCGTAATCTGGGCAATTCCTCTGGATAGATTATTAATAACAGTTTAAGTGAGAATGAAAAATTGATCAAGTGTAATAATTACAAATAAAACATTTGTTACCTTTTTGAAGTATTTTTGATTGAACCTCTATGCTATTATATTCGAGATAGAGGCTGTTTTCACAAAATCTCCGCCTGATTTCAAAGAAGTTTCATGAACATCTCCTTTAAGATGGATATTATTTATTTATGTTTTTCAAGTCAGTTTTTACACATTAAAGACATCAAACTGTTTATATTTTGCCCATCGCTATTTCAGCTGATAATTTGAAACTATCCAATAAATACGCCAGAACTAAAAATAAGAAGTATTCTAGACGACTAAGATTAATGCTATAATTTAATGTATTTTTTTGTATTTTTGTTTTTATTTATTTATAATAACTCATTAATAAATTATGTTTATTATCCATTTTTCCGTTAATTGTTTTTTATGAATTTCGGTATTGAAAAATGTATTGTCTCTACTTTTATAAATATTTTTGTTTTGTTTTACTAAAAGCGCTATTGCATAAATACATATATGGGATGCGCTCAATTAGTTAGCTCATTATGAAATTGAAAAATCAAATCGAGTTTTCAAAGATTTCTGGTACATTCCACGTTTTGCATCAATTTTTT